ATTTACCTGTGGGGAAGCAGCTCTTTTCTATTTTCAACAGAATTTTTATATGTTTCACAAGAAGACTTATTTATACTTCTAAGGAATGGAAGATTCTTTAAAAGGCTCTCTAATGAACCATTAAAAGCAAAGCACACGTGAAATGAAATTCATAAGTTACATTAAAACATCAAGTTCAGTTTAGTTTCCAGAATCATGGGCACCAAGTTTTGGTTTCCTTTTGGGTTTTTTTTTAGGGTTTTCTTTTGGTTCTTAACCTACCTTATATTCTGCAACTTGGCAAAAATCTGAGCCCCTTGACTCTTAGTTTAGTGTTTTTTCTGCTATGGAGAAGTGCAATGGCAAAAGTGAAGAAGAAAATGGAAGATTTTACTGCTTTAACAGCTTGTGCATTTGTAATTATTATCTTTGGTAGCAGAAAAAGATTTAAAATATTGTATTTGGAATCTTAAAGAATATTATCCTATAAGCTTGTTAGATTATAGAGCTGATGTCAAGAAACATCAAATGCTTTACAAATACAATTAGCAAATATCGAAGCTTTACCTTTTTTTTAGTGTCTAAAAAAATCCCGTATCCATTGCAAAGAAAAGGAAGCGGCTGTGGGTAGGTGTGGTGGTTTTTACTTTTTGCTGAAACCACCGCGCCAGTATCTAGTTTTCTGTGTATGGGAAAGAAGTCGGCAGAAGTTATGTGGGAAAACAGTGAAGGCAAACTGAGATAGAAATTACTTTTAAAAGTAGAAAGAGCGTGAGGAAGGAAGAAAGTAGGTGCATCTGGAACTTGATTTTCTATGTAATCAAGTAGTGCAGTTGATTTTGCATCTCTCTTCATGTGTCAGCATCAACTCTAACATGGTTGGATGAAGCTTTGAGCAACATGGTCTAGTGGAAGGTGTCCCTGCTGATGGCAGGGGGGTTGGAACTGGATGATCTTTAAGGGCCCTTCCAACCCAGACCATTCTATAATTTTATGACATATCCTTTCGCATCAGAATGGAATAAAAAGATATGGTATCTGTCTCGTCACGAATCAATGTGCTGCATCTTGATTGCATCTCTTCTGCTTCTTGTGCCGTTTAGGGAACTGATATTTACTTGTGAGAGAGACTTCTAGGCGCAGACAGGGAGAGCATCTCAACCTAGAGGCAGCATCCTGCCTCAAAGACAGATTTTTGTTCTTGTACTTTGTTGTCTTCGGAAAAGAAAACCAAAATCCTTTCATTTATGTATGTGGAATGCTTAGTAAAACTGTGAACAAAATAAATGTTCAAGATGATAATGTTGGCAACCAGGCATTTGCTACTCTCTTACATAGTTATTTTATTTTGCATTTTAAGTCTTAGAAAGAAAGAAAAAATACTTTTAAATATTAAAAGGCCAGTAAGTAAGAATGAACAACATATTATAGTTGTGATAACTGAATTCTGTTAGGTTTTATGTACTTTGTGTGATTAGAAAAAAAAAAATTTCCTGTTAATTTACATATGCACCTTACTTTAAAAAAAATACTTAAGTTTTATCTTATATGAGCACTTGATTTGAAACTGCAATGCTTTTAATATTATTTTACATTCCAGTGTAATATGTCAATAAATATTTCTATTTTATATGTATTTCCTATATCATATCCAGATACTTGCAGATTATAAAATATTTAATAGTATCTGGATTTTTTGCTGTGCTATGCTTATAGTCCTAGGAAGTCTCTGACATTATAATTCATGGACATGTGCACTCCTACATAATAGAGAAAAAGTTATTTGACTTCTACTGATTTTAGAGATGATGTAGAACACGTTATAAAACATGACCATCTCTTTAAGATGCAGATCCTCTCAACAAGAGAGATAAATTATAGGGAACAAATATGGAGTGTAATTTCCTCATGCTCTGACTAGTGTAGTACAGTGGGTTATGTTCAGGTGTCGTCCGAGTAGTTCTTATTGTGCTCTTAAATGTATAAAGCTGGAATTTAATATAATTAGAATTTAAAATACTGTGTTAAGAATACTGGATATAATTTCAATATTAGATAAAAGTAAAAATACCCTACTATATAACTCTTCAGTTGTTTATAGATAAAATATTGTTTTATTTTATTGTAGGATAGAAGAATGCTTTTGTAAGGAAATAATTGACATATTCAGTCACCTATGAAGATTTGAATCTTGCTTGTAAATAAAATTTCACTATTTTTTTAATAAACTCTACTGTTATTTTTGTCCTGTGCTATTTAATTTACAATAAATATATTTTATGTGCAAGTTTTCTTATTTTAAAAACTCAGGTTTAGGAGGAGAGAGAAAATTTTTTTGAGAAATGCCTTCAGGAAATATTGGAAAGGATATCAAGTTTTCTTTCACTGTAATGATGTAAGACTGAAATAGTGGGGGTTTTATTTTGATATGCATGTAACGATATTTTCAGTGAGCCAGAGTTGGGCCCCATTAAGGCCAATTAACAGCTTTAAATTTAAAAAATCATTTAGCCATAAGTCAGATACAGAGGGACAGAGCAACCAGTAAACCTTTGGAATTATTAATGACTTTGATTTCATGCGTTCCTTTGCTTTCATGAAACTTCCATTGCTGGATAATTTTATTTCAGAAATATTGTGCCTGTTTTGGGATACTGAAGTACAAATACCAGAATCCAGACCTGAGCTAGTTTGTTCTCATTGAGAGATTCAGCTTTCATGAAAGTTGTGACGTGCAGATGTCCAATCAACTGTAGACCATAGCTCTCTACCAGCCTTGCACTACATATAGTTGGTGGAGGAAATCAGATGAGCAAGTTTCCTGAAGTAATTTATTAATGACTCTGGCTGATTCTAGGAAACCAAGGGGGTTTGCTGTCACAGAGGGAGAGGTGTGGATATGTGAGGCAATTGATGTGGTAAGAGGAGTATCCCATTTTTTCCAGAGCTCTCTTATCACTTCTTTATCCCATCATGGTCGTGTTTCTCAGGTCCTTCATGCATGGGTAGCATGACAAAATTTTATGTGTACTATGAGAATGTTTGAACCAGTTCTTGATCCTGTTCATCATAACATGGAAAAAAAGGTGTCCATCTTTTTTATGTAAGTAAAAGGACTGAGGTAAGAGAAGGTAAAAGATTTTGATGATCTTGAATCCTCTATCACTTACACAAATCACTGAGTAAGTAGGCAAAATTGGGATTACTAATTTATAGCATCCTTCTTGAATAGGTAGTATGGTTGATACATTAAGAAAATGTCATAAAGTTGTGAGTGCACAGTGAAATTTGTGAAAGGTTTTAATATATATGTATAAAAAGGAACCATAGCCAGAATCATTGAAATCCTCATTTCTGCTGTGTGGGACTGGACTGAAAATGTAGGTTTCAGAAGCAAAAAACAGACAGTAATCAACTAAAGCAAATAGCATCTTTTTGTGCCTTATGTGATGAAGGGAAACCACATAGAATAACAGACCTTTTCCTTTCTCTAGATTTAGTTCAACTGCCCAGATGAAGGTTGGTCTTAGGGAGGGCTTAAGCTCTCTAGACTCATTGAGCTGGAGTGATTAGAAGTGGAGTTTGGTTGTGATCTACAGTCATTGTAGTTGTGACCTACCACCTTCCAATACCTGAAGGGGGCCTACAAGAAAGATGGGGAGGGACTTGTTACAAGGGCAGGTAGTGATAGAACAAGGAGTAATGGCTTTAAAATGGAAGAGAGAAGGTTTAGATGAGATATGAGGAAGAAATTCTTTCTTGTGAAGGTGGTGAGACACTGGAACAGGTTGCCCAGAGAAGCTGTGGCTGCTCCTACCTGGAAGTGTTCAAGTCCAGGTTGGATGAGGCTTTGAGCAACGTGGTCTAGTGGAAGGTGTCCCTGCTTATGTCAGGGATGTTGGAACTGGATGATCTTTAAGGTCCCTTCCAACCCAAACCGTTCTATGACTCTATGATTCTATGATTTTGCACACTACAAGACCTTCACTGGGTCTTCAGCTGCCTCTGAAAGAGTGCAGCTAACAAGTGAAAAAAATTATGTCAGCACCACTTGGATCTCTTAGATGTTTCAAATTTAAGTGCCCCTGCTCTCTGCCTGGATCTGGAGCTGAAGCTCACCATCCCAATTTCAGATGAATAGTTTCATAGGACTTCTGGGGCATTGTGTGGGAAATGCTCGGGCTCTGCAGTGGTGCTACAAACTGAAGGTCTAGCATTCAGATTTTCTGCACTATCTACAGTCTTTTTTAACAGGCTGGTGATGGCCACTGCCCATCCCAGATCAAAGGAGCAATCCCAGCTTTAGCTGAATGACTAGCAGTCAAGACAGCTGTAGGGAACAACTTCTGGTATTTCTTAGAGAAGATAAAACCTTGCAAAAAGCCCGTTGTCACAGTGTCTCATTTACTGACTCCTGCTGCAATGACTTAGCCTTTTGCTTGTGATATTATGTGAATGCTATCATCTCCCTATGACCTTCTGCCAGTTAATCTTGCAGTGTAGACTTTAAGAGCCTCTCATTTATTATTACGTATAAAAATATTTGCCTTTAATTCATAGTAGTTCCTTCCATATCTTAGCACTAGCGTTTAGATTTGAGATAAAATACCTGTTAGCTTTTTACATTTTAAAATATTATTTGGTAATTTTATAAGAGAATGAGGCTGCAAATACAGAATTACTCCTAATAGTACATGTGCTACAACTTTATGTACTCTTTTTTTAAATGTTCCTACAAAATGGATTTTCCTCTTTCCTCAGTTTTCCAGTTTTTCTTGCCATGTACTTTAGTATACATTCTTGCAGTTCTTTTGTTCCTTTAATCAGATTACTTTGGTTTATATTCCTTGCACCACACTGAGTGATCCATTTCTGTACATACAGGTGTATTAAGCTTGTTGTTCTTATTAATATTTTTTAATTTTTATTTTTCTGCAGCCCATCTGCTTTGCTGTTTGTTTTGGGTTTTGGGGGTTTTTTAACTCATTTTCATAACCTTGCAATAAACTTCTTTCTTTCAGGTTTTCCTTGGGAGATGCTCGCAAGCCGCTCCATGAAACTGCAGTACTGGTGGAAGACATTGTCCACACTCAGCTGATAAATTTGGTAAGTACATAACTGATAAAATAGTCTTCACTCTAAAGCTCCTTAAAACAACATGACATTTTCAGGATCAAATGACTAATAAAAGATTGTTCTGGTTTCAGAAACAAATCAAACTCAGAAACTGGCCTCAGTAATCTGTAGAAGCTACTGTTAGGATTGCAGATAGAGAGCGAGCACTTTGCTTATGGTTATATACTGTATTATTTGTGTGATATCTGCAACCCCACCTAACATTGGGAATAAAGCTGATTTTATTTTTTTGGTTAAAAACTTCAAGTTGTTAAAAAGAAAATACTGTCTAGCCATCAGCAGACTTCATTGCTAATTTTTTTATGCTGTATTATTTGTGTTAATGCATTATTTTCTTCAGATTGGTGTTCTAATATTCTTATTATTTGATGTTATTATTTCTGTCAAAAATAATGTAGAAATACTGAATATTTTTCCTTATTGAAAGTGTTATCTATATGAGGCTGTTTTGAATCTTGTTTATCAGAAGCGACTTGGAATTTGAACCTCTTCATACTTTTTAATTAAAGTTCAACAATATCTTTTAAATATTTTACACCATGGCATGAATCTGCCATGCTACATTTTGTACAGAAAGTTATACTCTTATATGTCACTTGTATCCTGCAAAGCATAACAAAAGGGTTTTTTTCTTATTATAGTGATTCTTCAAATGAAATTACCAACATTTATGGCTATGAACATTATATGGAACTAAAATATATACATAATACTAATATATATTATAAGTAATAGTTGCATATGAGGAGTCGCTGGATCTACTGGAGCTTTGAGCTGCAAGTTCCTAGATTTTTTCTCTATAATGTACCCTTTCAGGAATCAGAAGGATTTTTAAATTTCGGGCTAGGTTCTATTACTACATAAACTCAAATTTAAAACTTTTTTTGAAGCGAGAAAATTCAGAATGGGGCAGACCACATATTATACATATATATGTGTGTGTATGGATATATAATATATATCTATATTATATATATACACATAATTTTGTATATTTTAGATATATGAAATATTTTTTATAAAATACAATATAAATAAACCTCCCCTGCCAACTCCTTGCCTGCAGGCAGTTGCTTTCCTTCAGCTTTGCACTTAATCCAGCAACAGTTTGGTAGTTTTCTGGATCACAGCAAACACTTTGGGGTCCCTTGCAGCTCCGGGTGATTTCTTTCTGTTCATACCTCCGAAGCCCAGTGATGTATCCCTGTCTCTGCAGTCTCCTGATGTCTTTGTGCTGTGGCTTCTTTGCTTATTTTGCTCCTCTCGGTCCTGAATATGCCCCATGGCTCCTGGAGAGGTGACAGCCTCCCTCTCCTCTCTGCAGATTTCCCACTGGTTGAACACACTGCTCAGGGCATACGTTTGTAATCCTTATTCTAGCTGTAACTACTACAAAATAACATTTTCTTTTTGTTAATGACCCCCTTAATTTATGCAAACCAATGGCTGCGGCTTTGCTCTTCCTTAAGCAATAATGTGGTGAAGAGTCTGTGCTTTTACGTCCCACCGAGGCTCAGCTGAGCTGAGCTTTACATCAAAAACCTGCGTTTTGAGAAATTGCAACCTGCAGCCATGTGGTCTTTGCACTTCAATCAAAGCCGGGCACTTACTTGGGGAATGACCATGACCCAGGGTTAACCCTGCGTGGGGTGTAGGAACATGTATGATTTCCTGACAGAAGGAAGAATGGGAACGGAACGGCAGATAAACAGCTTTTCTAACCTTTCCCCTCCAAGCCCAAGACAGCACTTTATTTCTGAGGAAGTGAAAGTATCTTTAATAGCTCATTGCTTTGACCTCTGACATCCACATGCCGGAACTCTTAAATCAGGAGCTTTTTACATGCTGCAGACTTCTGATAGGCATTTTTGCACATTTGTCATCCTTAATAACTGCACATCCTTATTGAGCTGTTACTGTGTATTTTTATTAATTTTTTACTTTAGATGTAAGTGTTCATGTGGATATATATTCAGTACTAGAAACAAGCTATTTTTAGAATTGAAGCTGACTGCAGATGTAAATTTATTGCATACTACCTGGATTTTGTCACATTACTCATGAAAATGGACTACACAGTTCTCATTACGTAATTTAATGATTTCTTCTCAAAATTCATGTCCATTTTGCCATCCATAATATATGTATAAGGCTAAACTGTAGAAATTACTTTTATGCCTGCAGTAAAACTGGCACTTTGTGTACATCTTTCACAGTCAACATTTGTAAGAAGAGTTCATACTTGTTGATTAAGTCCAGGTTTGAGCTTCTGAATTAAAAATTAAGTTGCCAGCATGATTACCTGTGATTGGTTGAGTTTTGATATCTTGGAGTTTTATAGTTCCAGCTTCCTATTTTCAAAGTTGATTTGAACTCTATTAAATCAGGGGCTGGTTTGGACAGTTTTATATGGTCAGTGTTTTGAACCACTGTATACTTCATGAGGTCCAGCTGCTATAGCAGATGACTGCACTAATAAGTCAAATTCTTGAAAACCAGACTTTTTTATGTCCGCATCACATTCTATGATTGATTTTTGTGTGTATGTTTTGAACAATATGTACACTGCTTTACAGTAAGTGAAATTTGGCTAAAAATATATACCAATGTCTAGAAGGAAATGAGCAACTCCACAGGATGATTCACATAATCCTAAAATTAGTTGCTGAGTTAGATGAGATTAATCTCTTGAGGAATTTATTTCCTCAGCTGACTAATTCTGGGATCTTTTGGTGGTTTGCTGGGGTTTGAATATCTAGGAGATAGGTATAAAAGTTGAGAGATCAATTCCATCCAATTTATGTCAGAATGCTAGCATGAGTTTGATTTTTTTGTAATTATAATAAATGTTTTGTTATGTGCATATGAATCAAATTTGCGTATAAACAAAAAACCCCACCCATTCTAGAGTGAGAAAGTTCTGTACATTTTTTGTTCAAGCATAACATATTTGAAGAGCACATGAATTTAGGTTTTAATTGGAAATAAAATTCAATTTTGACTGATAGTGTTTGTTTAGTAACTGATCTGTAGGTACTTATAGATGCCTTAATATTACCCCTAAAGCTGTAATTATTTATGCGTGATAAGACTAGAGGTTTCAATCAAGGCTATGTTGCTGTTTGAGCAACCTGGTCTAGTGGAAGGTGCCCCTGCTCATGGCAGGGGTGTTGGAACTAGGTGGTCTTTAAGGTCCCCTCCAACCCAAGCCATTCTATGATTCTATCATTCTGTGAAGCACAAGTAGTAAATGTCTGTTACAAGGAAAATTGTGCCTACAAAAAAGGTTCAACAGGGAATGCAAAAAGGTGTTAATCAGAAGGGCAGAAGCTTTTAAATTACTTACTGTTTGAAGTGGAATGAGACCTCTTTTAATTCATCCGTTTGTTATATCCAATACAATTAGCATGTGCAGTAAGAAAGTTTTGAAGCATCATCTTCTATAATAATCTTTGAATATCTATTGAGACCCTTATCTTGCTTTAGTAAAAATCAATATTATTCATCACTTTCTGAAGAAAAATAGGGTGTAACTAAGAGAAGTGGAATAGGACTTTTTTGTGGTAATTAAACTATCATTGAGAGATTTGGCATCAAAATAGCTGAAGCCTTGCACATACACGGGTGTAAAATAATTTGGAAATTGTTTCATGTAATATTTAAAAAAGAGGAAAAGTCTCTCCTCGCTTCGACCATCTCTGTGCAGAATTTCTGTCATGCCAGACTGGATCATAGGAAAATGTAGTATTATTAGACTAATATTAAAAACTAAAGATCTCTTAGTATCTTCTCTTGATAGGGCCATACCTCCATGTTCATGCTTCTGATGTCACATTCAGAGGCTAATCAACAATAAGATCGTGATGTATTACTTATATCAAAAAGGCTGTTAAGGAGGTACCTTCTTCATTCTGGGAATGTATCAGTTGGGCATTTATCATCAGAATGAACTACCAGCAGTTTACTCTCTAGGCATGCTGAATATGGTATCAGAATTAACAGAATTATTCAATTTAGTGCTAGATCTGAACTTCAGTCCTTTACATTTTCTGAGATATTGAATGGCGTCTGGGAAGAGATTAGATTTATTTTTACAAAATGAAAGACATTTTAGCAGTAGCACAGGGTTCAGCAAGGGAATATGAAAAATTACACATATGCACACCAAAAATACAGATGTGCTTATAAACAGCAGAGCCCAAAAGTCCTTACCTACTGGTGAGTGAACTTATCTGTCATGAAAGACTGAGTGCTCAGAGGGAAGGCTGCAGCACATCACAACAGTCTTGGACTGCATCCTTTAAATGTTTTGTCTGCTAGAATTCTTCATAAAGTGTAATAAGTCATTGAGGAGACTGTCATGAATGATAGAATTCAAGTTAATAGAGTTGTGGTTTACTCCCTGTCAACTAATGCGTGTCTGCTAGAAGATGGACTCTGATCTCTTCAATTGATGTCAAATTATTTAAGTCAAACCCAGTCAGTTTGCTTTTTTAGAATGCAGTAGTGTCAACTTATAGGGACTTCAGTTACCCAAAATCAAGTTAGACATGTTATCTGTGGGGTTTTTCTGATCACTCTTTTATCCAACAACAATGGCAATGGGAGACAGGAGTAGGAAAATAATGAGGATTTAAACAGAATCAGAGATAGAGCTTTCTTGGTTTCTTACAACCTATTCCTACAAGTGGGTTTTTTGGGGGTTGTTTTTTGGTTTTGGGTTTTTTTTAACCAAATCACGCTCGTTATTCATTCACAAACTAGATTAGTCATTTTAATGTATCTAACTTCTATGCTGTTCTGAAATCATACAGTTCCGGGTTTGTTTACTGTGGTTTTGAACTGTTAGACTTGTAACATTTATATATGTAATTGTAGAATTTCTGACATTCCTTTTAAAAAAGAAAGAATTGAAACCAGCTTGTTCATTAACAGGAATTGCCCTCTGATAAAAACAAAGAGTGTGAAAC